GAACACAGAAGTCCAGAGCAGGAAGCAGCAGCAACACTGCTACACTTCTTATGATTTCCCAAAACACGTTCCAGTTGTTGTGGGATAAATCTTGTGCCAGCAGGAATTGAATTTGAATTACTCAGATTGAATCTGAATGTGCATAATTTGAAATTGAATGCATTGGTTTGAATATGAAATACACAAAAGTGAAACTGAATTTAAAGTTTTGAATTTGAATTAATTTGCTTTGAAACTGCATTTTGGTCAATTAAAATTTTAGTTTGACTACTTTCCCTTTCAGTTCCATAATTCAATTTCAGTTCTAAAATTCATACTTGTCTGTCACATCCTGGTCCTTGAGAAAGCCAGGCAGAGTAATCAAACACAGATCCACAGATTTATGTTTCACTTTGGTGAAGTTTCCCTTCTGTATGTAACAGAGTTGATGCAATCCACTGTAAAAGTGACAAAAACAGACAGTTATTATTTTATAATTTTACCTATAGAAAATATTACATTTACATCACATCATGGATCACATATTGATCAGATGCTGCTGCTGACTGATATATAACGTTTCAAAGCAAATTAATTCAAATTCAAATCATTAAATTCAGTGAAATTTATTTTCAAACCAGTGCATTCAATTTCAAATTATGCACATTCAGATTCAATTCCTGCTGGCACAAGATTTATCCCATAACGGGTGGTGCTCATTAGTGGGCCAGATGGATAGCCGTACATCAGGGCTAAAGAACAAAAAGAACCTGAAGCTCCTATGTTGAACAGTTTTTGAGTTAAAAGCATTGTTACATGTCCAGAATAGGGTTGGGCGATATTGGCAAAAAAAATTAATCACGATTAATTGTGGTATTTAGCCGATAACGATTAATTTGACAATTAATCCCCTGGAGTATGTCCTGGTCACATGAACAATTTAGTGGGAAAGATTTGCTCTTCGTAAAAATCTTTTTCAAACTGTGTCAAAATRACAGACCTCAGGCTCTACTTCAAATTTTAAATTGTGTTGATAAATAAATGACAGAACTTTTGTTTAAATATTCATCATATTTGAAGGAGAGAGGAGCACCGAGCGGACTGACCGGGGAAATCTCCAATCAGTCTGCCTGCTGGCATTAATCGTATTAATCATCAAGTGCCAAAAAATAATCGATTAATGTTTTTCTGACGATTAATTGCAGACGATACGATTATGCCCAACCCTAGTCCAGACACCCCCCTTTTAGATGGAGCCCCCTCCTCAAATATGGGGTCTATCAAAAAACCGTTTGCTGGATCAGTGTAGGTCGGACTCAACTACATTCCTGCCAAATMTCATGTTGACTGGTGCAGCCGTTTCCGTATTACGGTCGACCAAAAACCACTGAAAATAAATAAAAATAAACAGTGTGAAAACAGTATGACCCCCGCTTCACGTGGGGGTCATGATAAACAACCGCTTGTTCAATCTCCTATAAGGACCTCAAGCTGTGTTTAAATAGAAAACATTCCATTAAGGAATATAAAAGTGCTGTTTTGCATTTGTTACTAAGCTCATTTTGACATAAAATGATGAAATGTGATATTTCCATCAACATGCTGCTAAAAGGACTCACCGCAGTCTGTTCCTGAAGAGCTATTAGTCACATTTTCATCAGCACAAAAGATTCTAATATCCACAGGCTTTTATTTGTTAGAATAACAGCAGATTACAAAAATCCTGCAGTGAACAGAAGGTTGCACTGACAGCAGGCGTTAGACAAATCCTTCCATCCATCCATCCATCCATCCATCCATCCATCCATCCATCCATCCATACATCGTCATAGATATAAAACTGAATAATCTTTGTTTTATTTTAAATCTGTTAGTTTTTATAATAAATCCTTCATGTTGTTCAGTTGAACGATTGCACGTCTGTAAAACGGCGTACAGTTGCTCTGATGTCACTACAGTTTTCTCAGGATTACTTCATTCTGTGCAGCTCAGCGGGGAGTTTCACTCAAAATTCATGAGGACCTGAGGGAAGCAGCTCCTGTTAACGGCAGCTACCTTTTTATTATTATCATTATTATTTACACCCTCTGGACCTGCAGTTGTTTTTCTCTGCTGCTGTTCGGAAGATTAATAAATGTCTGAGCTTCACGTGCAGAACAAAGACGACTTGTTTCAGTTTGTGTAAGGACTCGGCACTGAACCTGGGATGAGGACATAATGTGATTCAGATGAAGTAAACTCATTTAGAAAGCTGTGACACTGACAGTGCTGCAGGTGGAACGACTGATTTACATCAGTATGACTTTGCTCCGGATTATATAGCTGCAATAAACATGGTTTAGTTCCTCCATTTTACTTCATTTATCCACAACATAACCAGCAAAAATATATAAGATGCAAAATGTTACTTTATAATCTATAATAAAATCCAACAAAACACCAATCTAGATTTTAACACTGAGCTTATACCTGATTTTAAACCATTGTATTTTCTGCAACATGTCCTGATGCATCTCAATTACACAGAAAGAAAAATCTAAAAAAAAAAAAGTTGAGTAGGTCCTCTGGACGGGTTCGTCGATGAAAAAAAATAATTTTTTTTGTCTCTTCTCCAAGAGACTTCTTCAGTCTGATGAGTTACAAGTAAACTCAGCGTATAAGCAGTAATTTCACATGGTGGATAAAAAGGTTAACAATGACAATCAAAACCGTTTGTTCACATGCAAAAAGACCATCAGCCTAACAAGTGATCATTAATATTTTATGATTTTTTCTTCTCTCTGCTGCCTTTCATTTCATTGTATTTTCTTTCTTTTTTATTATATATAGAATTTTGTTTTTTAAGAATTGAATAAAGTTTGAAATAAATAAAATATCTGGATAACAACTGGTCAGTAATGTCTTGATCCTTAATCCCCAATCGGGGCACTAACTATCAGTTGTTAGGCTGATGGTCCTGTTTTGCATGTAAACAAACGGTTTTGATTGTCATCGTTGACTTGTTTGTCCACCATGTGGAAGAACAGCTTTTATGGCTGGGTTTACCTGTAACTCCTCTTTGAAAAGAGACAAAAAATATTTTCAAAGGACTCGTCCAGAGGACCTACTCGACATTTTTTAGATTACTGCAATATGGGTAAAATTTATGCTCCCAAAAATGACATAAAACACAAACAAAATAAATCAAAATAAATGACAAAATCAAGATTCAGTTCAACATTTTAAAGACCTACAGAGTAATATTGTAGTCAAGACCAGCTAAACCCAGACCAAGTTAAGCCCAACATCAGAGTACATCAAGACAAGACCAAGACTTTTATGGGCTGAGACCAAGTCGAGACCAAAACCAGAAAAAAATATGGAAACTAGTGCTCTAAAAGACGAAAATTACTGTACACTTTGCTTCTTCGCAGTTTGCTTTCTCCTCAATGTTGTTTTTCAAATATATTTTTTATGATTTATTAGGGTTGGGCGATATTGGCAAAAAAAAAAAGATTAATTGTGGTATTTAGTCGATAACGATTAATATGACGATTAATCCTCTGGAGTCTCTGGACGCCCTGATATCCTAGTCACATGACCAATTTAAACCACTCTAGTGGGAAAGATTTGCTCTCCGCAAAAATCTGTTCGAAACTGTGTCAAAAGTACAGACTTCAGGCTGTGCATCAGTTTTTAAATTGTGTTGCTAGACCAAGTAAAACTGGAGTTATACTAAATAAATTATAAAACTTTTTTCTTTAATATTCATCATATTTGAAGCAGAGAGGCGAACTGAGCAGAATGACGAGGGAAATCTCCAGTCAGTCTGCCTGGAGGCATTAACTGTGTTAATCGTCAGGTGCCAAAAAATAATCTATTAAAGTTTTTCTGACGATTAATTACACATGATAAGATTTTGCCCAACCCTACGATGTATGTAGCTGAACTGTATTACTGAATATTTTGCAGGGAGGGTGAGGTTGACAGCAGTAACAAAAATTCGTAATCAGCAATAAGTCACGCTTGGGTTTGAATCAAAGTTTTACATCCAATGAAAGCAACAATGTTAACACTTAAATTTGGACAATATTCTGGCAAATCAGTGATATTTCCACAGTTGTGCTCTTGAAATAAAATCCAGATACCTGAATGTCCGTGACAAGACTGAATACAAATACGGTCGAAAACTGGTCAAGACCGGTCTCGAGCACTACAACACTGCAGCAGCGACTGAGTAAAAAAGGATTTTGAGGACAGTAAACAATAAAGGCTTTCTCCTTAAGAAAAGCTTAATTCTTTAAAGCTTTTCTTTCCCACATGTTGCTATTGTGCTGAGCTCTCCGACTGCTGTTAGGAGAATTACGCTCACACAGCAGTTGTTAAACATTGTTTGGTGCTTCAGTTAATCAGCTCAGAAGAGACCATATGTGCCTTAAAACAGGATGTAATTCACAGAAAAACACAAGGGTTTGAGTATTCATCCCTCGCGACTGTGATAGAGGATGCGTGCGAATCTTTAACCCCTTCCAGTGACGACGTGGAAACGTTCTTACCGTAGGTGAGCGTYTAGAGCGGCTTGCCGTTGGTGTCCATGGTGGTCAGACACGGGGCCTTCGGAGAGATGGTGCCCCACCTTTGTAGAGCTGCCTCCAGAGACGGGGGCCAGTTGGTCACAACGCCCAACTGCTCACCACGCATGGCCACCATCTGGGCCCCCTCAGCCTTGGGCAGGTTGGGGTCTGGCTGCTGGACTGCAGGTTGGCAGATTTAAACAGAGAGGAGAGTAAAAAGGTTTCCATTTTACACACGTCTCGTATGTTTATCTTCTCTTTGAACCAGATTTTACCCATGTTTTATATCACACATGGAAGATATTGTAATCAAGTGAGCTGGCACTAATAAATTTTAATAACCCACTGAACCAAACTGAGCATTTTTAACATTTACTATTCATGCTTTAATAATGAATTAAGTTCTGGCTCTGCAGCTTCTGATGCTGAAAACAGAAGGAAATATTTATCAGGCTCTGCATTGTTAGAGGAGARGACGGGGAATAATCTCCAGGGATAAAAAATTTGTCTGAACAGAGAATTTTTTCGCTGCAAAACAAAAGATCAGTCCTCAACACTGAAAGAAAAGCAATGAAATGAAAAAAAAATCTGACATCTGATGAAAAGCTACAGCTTGAACATTTCGTTTGGCTGCAGAGATCAGTGTGACAGAAAAAAACAACATTTTTTTAACAGAATAAAGCGTTTTACCTTCCAGAAGTTCCTCAAAGTCGTCAACAAAAAACTCTCTTAACGGAGGTCGTTTGGGTCTCTTCAGCGTGTTGACAAGCTGCTGTATTTTAGCTGAAACTCTGCTGCTGACTGGAACACCTGCGGAGCAACAAAACACAAGCAGAACATTTAATCTAATTGAATCCTACAGCTGCAAACCGCAGCTTTTCTCCTGTGAAATCGGAAAACAAGGTTGAGTTTTAAATGTAGATCCAGTTTCTCTGAGGTGAGCGCTCTGCAGAAGCACTGATGAGCAGGAAGCAGTGTGATTTTTATTGTTATAATTATTCTCAAACAACCAGGAAATGTGTGTCCTGTGTTTGACCCAAAACACGTGAGACATCCAAGTATCTATTGCACCACCTAACTTTGATATGTATTCCCACCCTCACACCCTCTCAGCCTCGACTCACCGTCTCCGGTCTCCATCAGCTCCGCGTTGCCGTATTTGGGCGTCTGTTTCTGGCCGGCAGAACCGGGTCCCGGGGCTCGTTCCACTTGGATTCCATCAGTGGTGGTGGTGTTGTTGGTGTAGCTGGTGACGTCCGGAGGGGCAGAGTGGTTCTCTGCAAGGAAATGAGGAGTTTAGACTTGGTTAAACCTTCAGATACAATCAAATGAAGCATAAACGTAAATCAAAATGAATTTCAATAATATCTCAGCCACTACAGAAAAGGTTCAACAATCATTTATCTGCACCAGGATCAATTATTATTATTTAAATTAGAAAAATGTATTTATGAAATATTGGCAAAAATTAAGCTTTGTGCATCTCAAGGTGAAAGATTTAAGTCAAACGGCCAAAAGTTGCTGAAAAAAACAACAAAATTGCTAAAGCTAAATAATGCAAAAGACCAGCAGGATGAAAAAAATGCTAAAAGAAGCTAAACATTGGCTGAAAAAAGTGACAAAAAATGCTAAATAATGAAAAAGGCTAGCTGAATAAAAAAAAAAACCCCCGCTAAAAGTAGTTAAACATTAGCTTCTAATATAGAAAACTTTAGCTATAACAATAAAACATTAACAACATGCCAAAAGTAGCAAAACACAAGCTAAAAGTAGCAAAAGAAAAGCTAAAAGCCAAAAATAATAATATGCTGGGTAAAATTAGCAAAATTGATAGCTAAAAGCTAAACATTTGCTAATGTATCCTAAAGGCGTTAAAACACTAGCTACAAGCTTAATGTAACCAAAGGTTTTAAAAGTAGCAAAATGTTTAAAGATTGCTAATAACAGCTAAAAACTAAAAGGCGCATTAGAAGCAGCTGATTTTGAAAAGGATGTTTTTTTAAAGAAAATTAAGACATCTCGATGTATTACATTAGGAAATTATTTGTACATAAAGTTAAATTTTAAAACATATATTAAAGTTATAAAAAACAAAAGTCACAGTAGTCATTGTTCTATTAACACTCAGTAAGTGTTGGGTGTGACTCTCTGCTGTTACCAATACAAATTTTATCTTAATATCTTTAAAATTATCTGAATTGTAGCCATATTTTTCACTAAAGCTAATTAGCATCTGACATGGTTTCAGTGAAAATCCACCAGAAGCAGAACCTCGACTTTCTCCTGGAACTTGCAGGTTTAACAGATAACCAGAAGCTGCAGGTTCTCTTCTATAAACACAAAAAAAATAAAATAATAAAAAAATACATTCTCATCAAACATTGACATTTGTTTTCAGGTTGTTTCTGAACACATTTCGTGCTACATTCAGTTTCTGTTTCAACTCATCTGTGTTCCTGAGGTTTCAATGCAAGCATCAAATTCTTCACATTTATCGTTGTTTTCTTTTTTTTATGAGTTCAACATCAAACAGTTTACCACCGTTTGTTCGAGAAATTATTTACTTTGACTGATTAAAGCATGAAATGATGTGAATCTAAACAGAAATGAATCCTGATTCAAACCGTTACGCCTGTTTGCTGCAAACTGCTCATTTCAATTTAAACCAGCATTCATTTTTCTTCAAACGCTCAAAACCACTTTTATTCAGAGGACAGAGGCATTTTTTTAAAATTATTTTAAGTTAATCTTCTATTAACTTTTATAACATTACCATTTATGCTCGATAAACGATAAAAAAAGAAAACTTTTTCAACAAAAATGGTTGACATACAAGCGCCATGCACAGACAGGTGTTCCTTAGACAGAATTTGCTGTTCAACGTGGCGTCAATCATAAATATTAAACATAAAACATATTACTGTGAAGCAGACAGCTTTAGTTACCACCTGAATTAGCAGCTTTTTTCTCTTTAGCCGAATTATTAGAAAAGCCAGGASTATGAATTTGGGGCTTTTTACAATTTTTGACAGGGTATTGAAGTAAGCTTCTCTATATTGAATTATTTATAATGTCATATTACAGATATTTTCACAAGTATTGTTGAGAARGTTTTCTTTATTCAAAAAGGTTTGTGTCTAATAAAGTATAGGTGAGCAGCCGAGGCATGCTAGTTGCTAGCCTCTCCAACGCTAATGGCAGCTTATCCATGCTAGTGCTAGCCTCATTTTCCAGCACTGGCCTGTCAGTTACCGGTGCCGGTCTATCATTAATCAGATCAATAGCTGGTTAGGAATGTATATAGCCTCCTGCTACGAGGATGTAGCAACCGCTGGTTGTGCAATAGTCTTAATTTTGACCCTCTTACTGCGCCATAATTAAAATCTTGTTGTGAGCAGGATTACAAAGTTTTTTGCCCATCAGAGTATCGTTTGTAACTTAGCTAGTGATTTATCATCAGTTTGAAATCYAATTTGTCCTTTCAGAGATTACTTTTTGGCCTTTTTATCCAAATAAATTAAATCAAATTAGAAAACTTAAAAAACAGCTATGAAGCTGTTTAATTGAACATAATTAAATTTCTAAATATTTCAAACRAAACTGTATCATCGTCATCCACATGAGGTTTTAGCCTTTAATGCTAAACGCTCCCAAGAAAACATTAATTTCTGATGAATTGAACATTAATTCTCTTCCATTTGTGCCATGTGTTCTCAATTGCCTTTGCAGATGACTAATTCTGAGCTCAACATGATTTCATACGCTGCGAAAACTCAGAAATACGGTGTGAAAAAGGAAGAGAGATGACTTCTAGTGAAGCTCTGAGCCACAGCCGAGGAGACAAAAAAAAAGAAGGAATATCTACCCCAGACACGGCCTGAATATCAACACTGCAGTGAGCAGGACAGGCATGCTAATTACTGCAGCATGTTCTACATCCTGTCTCTGCATCATCCGGGCCGTCAGCTCTGAACTGGACCGCCTCTCAAGTTTGGTGTTAGTTATCTGTCTGGTGACGTCTCTGCCCTGCTTTCTGTCCAACGTGCGGGTGAATATGTGGACGTAACTCCAGTGACCTCATCAGATTGTCTTTACGATGATGGGAGGCGGGGGGTATTACTGCCAGCTGAGGAGGAAGATGATGAATGTGTTCTTCACTGCAGGAATACCAAACAGCCAGACTGAGGGAGATGATTCAGGGACGAGACGTTTTCATCTCAACTCATGAGTCAAGGAGGGCTTAAGGCCGGCTGGTTAGTTAATGATTCTGGAGCTGAAAATCCACAAAACAGAAAACACCTCCATCTGATGTTGGGACTCTTGTTGCCATGGATATACCCTTAAGAGCAGAAATCCCAGATAATCCATAGTACTTAAACTTTACATGAACTTCAAATGAATCATATACCATTAAAGAGTAACTAAACCCAAAATCAACTTTTATTTATTTTTTACAGATAAACTGTCTAAATTGTGCGTTAAGGGTATCGTATCAGCATTTCTGTGAAAATTGTGACATTTCCAAGTAAATTTCTTTAACTCTTCAATATTTGGTCTAAACAGTCGCCCTCTATGGGTTGAACGGTGCTACTGCAGTGGAATTTTCCTGTTGGTTAAAATGGTACATGCTGATGTCACAGAGGGTTTAAAAGCCTCTGACTGCATCGAGTCAGGAGTTGATTGGAACAATGAGCACTGTGATGAAAATCTGTTACTGCTTTGAACATTAGCCCATGTTAGCAATTATGCTAAGATCATTTTAAAGGAGACCTACATTAATTTCTTTAGAACATTCAGAAATGCTAGCTTGTCAAATTAAGCTAGCTGCCACCTGACCACAGCCCCTCAGTTAGGGCTGGGCGATTATTTGATCGCAATTATTGATCGAGAAAAATTCAGGTCGATCAAGGTGATCAGCTGTGAGCCTCTTTACTCGATCAAACATGGCGGAAATGTGCACGACAACAGCCAATCAGAATCCACCCTCTCCTGCTCCACTTCTGTTTATAAGTTGCTAATGAAACGCGGACGGAATCACAGAATTAACCAAAGTAATCCAGCACAGATTTTGCTTATTTGGGCGAGTTTCTGAGGTATTTTGGCTGCTGTCGCTTCCTGTACCTGCCGTTACCTGCTAACAGGCTCGCAGGGTGAGCTCTGAGCTCCTCTCCCGACACAGAAGGAGAGAGGGGAGGAAAAAGAAAAGAGAGCGGCGATGCACAGCTCGCCAAAACAAAAGCGTCTTTCAAAAATATGAAGCAGTCTTTAACGTTTAGGACAGAACAATGTCGCAGCGGTTCTTCATTCATCTGGAGAAGAACTTTAAGTTTTATCAGCACACGATGGGCTGGACATGACGTGAAGACCACTTCCTGTCTGAGTCTCATCACAAACAGCAGCTGAGASACGCTGCAAACTCCTGAACACTCAGAAGCTGGGAGTTTATCCAACATTTTGTCCTGTGCAGAATCAGATATTATTTCAGAAAAATTGAAACAGCGTTGTCCGTTGTTTGATAAAGCTCTATAAACAGGAGGGGTGGGGGTTCCTTCCATAACAAGTAATGAGCTTGGATTCTATCCAAATGTGCACAAATTGCTGCAGTTTTTAGGGTTTGTTTCTTTAAGGCATATTTAATGTGAAATTCAAATCCAAAACCTCAATTCTACAAAAGGATAACTTTATTAATGTGAGATTCTATAATTTAAACAAATGTTTTTTTTATTTTTCTTGGTAAATACCTTTTTAAATACCTTGCAAAAATAATTACACATTCTACTGAACCACAGCTATTTGTTATATTAGTGAAAGTGAAATAACAGCCATTATTTTTTTTAATTTCTGTAGTTATTTAAGTGTTACATTATTTTTCTGTTACTTTTTAGGTTAACATAAAAAAGTGAAATTAATCGAGATTGGACGATGCGAAAAAATTAATTGATACTTTTTTTGCCGTATCGCTCAGCTCTACCTTCCGTGCCACTCAGTGCCACTTGGCACCGCCCACTTTGTTGGAATTGTTCTAATTTGCCTGGGGGCGGGGTTATGCTTTGTTACACTTTGAAAACCGACATTAAACAGCAGAGGGAGTCTCAAATGCAGAATCTAATTCTCAAACAGTTTCACACTTTCATGACCAGGCTAACAGAAGCTTTTAAAAATCCTCAGGAGGGAAGGGAGGAACATAGATTTGCATGTGAGTTTAGCCGCTCACAGCAGCTCAACAGTTTGGAACTCCCAACTTTTACTGACCAGAAAAATATGACTCGGCACAATA